GTCAGTGTTGCTCAGTGGTTGAGTGTCAACCTATGAACCAGGAGGTAAAGGCTCAATTCCCAGTTGGGGCACATGCCCAGGTTGATCCCCAGTGTGGGGCGTGCAAGAGGCAGCCAATCAATGATTCTCTCGTTGATGTTTCTATCTCCCCCTCCCATCCTCTCTCTGAAATCAATAAAAATATATTTTAAAAAAATAAGAAGGAATTACTATAATTAAAAACACAGATATAGTTAAGAAGGTTATGACAGGAGGCACTTTTGTGCATTCTATTCACTAAATGATCCAATCAAATCCAGTTGTAAGTTAAAACCAGGTTTTCTATCTATTAGCTGTATTCAGGCTAAACCTTGGCATTGGAAAGTCAAATTTCCAGGACTTATATAACCCCATTCTGGCCTTTCCGTGCTCTAAAATAAAGTATGATTGTGAAAAAAAAATCTACACCTGTTTTTTTGCTACATATGACAGAGGATAGTGGACAATACAATTATTTATTTTTCTTTCCTTATAAATTTTAGCCCTAAATCTATAAACAGTGAATCAGCACTATATGGCCAATGAAAATAAATATATGAGCTTAAGTAATACATGGAAAGAATAGTAAAAAGAACACCAAAAATGATATAAACTTAAACCAAATAAAGTCATCTAATTGATATATATGTCTATAAATGGTTTGGAAGAGAATGAAGCATGATAAAAACAGGTAAAATTGTCAATGAAAAGGATTTCTGTATAACTGTTTAACCATGCCAAAAATTTATTTTTTTAAAAAGAGGCCCAAATTACAGAATTTCATGAAGTATATAAAGTATCTGAAAGCTTTGAACAAGGGCCAGTAAGGAAGTATCTTTAGAACATCATGTTGATATTTTTTATAAAGAATAAAAAAAGTCTCAAGATTCATTTAAAAATACAATAAAATATAAGGGAGAAATGTGTCTTTACAGTATAGTTAAGTCCTTTTCTATAACAACACTTTCTGAGGAACACTGAAGGCTTAGCCATCACACAAAAGGCCAATACTGTCTCTAAGTGACTGTGGACTTCTGTACTTCTGGCTGGAAGAGGTAGCCGGGAAATTCATCCTGAAAGAATGAAGACCCCATTTTCTCTGGCAGCTTCACCTCAGGTTTTTTTTTTTTTTTGGCACAAAAGTTGGAAATTCTTGACATGGTGAATATCTCAATATTTTGTTACATTTTGCTCCAGTACTACAAAAGTTCTCCTTCAATTTACACAGCTTTATGAAATGCAGAACTATTTTGATAGTTTTGTCAGCTTTTCTAAATTCTAACCAAATGTCCCTTAATAGAATAAAAACTACTTTCTGAACCCAGCATGCTCCCTGGTAGTTCTCTTAGTGTTCCAATCACCTAAGTTAGCAAATAATTATTGAAAATAATTATTTTCCATTATCCCTCCCAAGACCTGCCTGTAGAGTCTACAGTTATTTCTGCAATATCAGTAAACATATGAATCTTGTGGATGGAGAGCCTTGGCTGATCCCCAACACCATTTCCCCCCCACCCCTTCGCCATGCCCAGTTCTGGGGTGGCCATGTGGTCAGAAGTCATCTACAACTTCTGGTGGAACCAGGGAGAAGAGGAGGCCACCTTGCCCACTCTGCTTGCTACTATAAATATGATTGTTTATTTGTTTGTTTAATGATTTTAGAGAGAGGAAGGGAGAGGGAGAGAAACATCAGTGATGATAGAGAATCATTGATTGGCTGCCTCCTGCACTCCCCACACTGGATATCGAGTCCACAACCCGGGCATGTGCCCTGATCGGGAATTGAACCGTGACCTCCTAGTTCAGGGTCGATGCTCAACCACTGAGCCACACTGGACAGGCTCTGTTTGCTACTGTAAGGACAGTAAGCCTGAAGCTATGAAGACTTACCACATGGAGAGAGCCTGCCCAAGAGGGAAGCCAAAACAAAGGGAAGCACTGTTGAAAAATGGAGAAAAACTGAGTCCAGGAGACTTGACCCAGCTAAATAAGAAGCTAGCACCACCTGTGTGTTGTTTGTGTTTTTTTGTTGTTGTTCTATGAACCAATGGGTGTATAACTCAACCCCACCAATTTATTTCCTTTGAGTCAGTCTGAATTGATTTTGCCCTTTGAATAGAGAGTCCTATCCCATATCAATTAAGATGTTTTTAGCTGCAAGTAAAAATGGTTTAAATAGATGTTTGTCATCCTATATAATAAAACCCTAATATGCAAATTGACTGAACAGCGGAATGACTGGGGGAACTACTGGTCACTATGATGTGCACTGACCACCAGGGGGCAGATGCTCAACATAGGAGCTGCCCCCTGGTGGTCAGTGTGCACCCACAGGGGGAGTGCTGCTCAGCCAGAAGCCGGGTTCACGGCTGGTGAGCGCAGCGGCGGTGGCGGGAGCCTCTCCCACCTCCGCTGCAGGCAAGCAGTAAGGAGCGAGGGGTCCCAGACTGCAAGAGCCCCGGACTGCGAGAGGGATGTCTGACTGCTGGCTTAGGCCCGATCCCAGGAAGACATCCCCTGAGGAGTCCCGGACTGCAAGAGGGTGCAGACCAGGCTAAAGGACCCTCACCCCCTAGTGCACAAATTTCGTGCACTGGGCCTCTACTCTCATATAAAAGGCAGCTCTGAGATAGGTAGCTATCAATTCAACAAACAAAAATGCAGTCAATGCCCTAGCCAGTTTGGCTCAGTGGATACAGCGTCAGCCTGTGGACTGAAGGGTCCCAGGTTTGATTCCGGCCAAGGGCAGAAACCTGGGTTGTGGGCTTAATCCCCAGTGTGGGGTGTGCAGGAGTCAGCCAATCAATGATTCTCTCTCATCATTGATGTTTCTATCTCTTTCTCCCTCTCCCTTCCTCTCTGAAATCAATAAAAATATATTAAAAAATTAAAAGAATCTAGGCTTCTCATCAGTCCCTCTGGCAATCCTTAGCATTCTACCTTTTGTCTTTGAGCCACAGTGGCAGAAAGATGGCTGCCAGAGCTCCAGGCATCACATCCTCATACAATAGCATCAGAGAAAGGGAAAATTACTCTTTTTATCAGAGAGAAGACGATTTTTCCTAGAGCCACCACTGAGCACCCACTCCCTTGGTCTCACTGGCCAGAACTGGATTTTACACTGCCTTGCTACCTCTATCCCTCTTTGGCAAAGGAGAGTAAAATTATTGTGACAGCAAAGACCAATCTTGATTTGGAGGGGCCCATCTTCTGTGAGCACATTGTGGCAAGACACTTGATCAAAATAAGGGCTCTATTTTCAAGGAAGAAGGGAGGAAATGGCTCTTGGGTAGGCAACCAATAATGTATGCTGTAAGTCCTAATACAAGCACATGCAAGAGAGTGAAAAATTTGACATTCCAAACCAAATGATAATACCATCATTTTAATTTCCATGTGCACACACCTAAATATGCACCAACTATATTTATTATTTTTAAGAAACTATGAAAACGACTGCAAAACTATAAATTCCTTGTAATGGCTTTTTAAAGTCTTTACTGAAATGCCCCAGAATAATAGGTATTAGCTATGTAGGTTATTTTCAACATGCCTAAAATAGAAAAAGGAATGTTAATGAATGATCCTCCCATTCTTAGAGCTCTAAGGCTATCTTGTTAGCTAAGGCTATTAGAATCTGCCATGGGGTACAGCTGAAGAGCCCACTAAATAGAAAACAGAAACTCTTTTGAGCAAAACTGGTTTTCAACTCTACTAAAGATCAATGCTATACAGTGGTGCCTCTTCCTTAAAATTTGGCATCACTGGGGGTCATGAAGCTTAGATGAGATGGCAATGCGAACACTCCTAGGCCAGAACTGGCACATAGTAGTACTGTGAAGTCCAGGGAAAATAGAAGAGGGCTGAACACGGGCAGCAGGAGCACAGGTGGTGACGGGGAAGGAGAATGAACAGAGTCTGAGAGTTCATTTCCAAAGTTAACCTAAACCACAACTATATCGTGAAATAATTACTAAATACACTAAACAAAATGTACAAGGCAAAGAAAATTAACTTAAAGCATCAGCAGTGATAAGAAAAAACTAAATATCATCAGTAGGCCTGTAAGTAACTACAATATTATAATCTGGTAAGAGCTTTAGCTGAACTTAGTAAAATCTTATTTACTATGTCTTTTTTTTTTTAAAGGTTTGGATGATTTTTTACAGAGAGGAAGGGAGAGGGATAGAGAGTTAGAAACATCGATCAGCTGCCTCCTGCACACCCCCTACGGGGGATGTGCCTGCAACCAAGGTACATGCCCTTGACAGGAATTGAACCTGGGACCTTTCAGTCCGCAGGCCGATGCTCTATCCACTAAGCCAAACCGGTTATGGCTTATTTACTATGTCTTAAGCATCCCCACCAACATTTTCCTCTTGATCTTAGTACTCACTGAAAATAAGGTCTCTGCTTCTTCCTCCACTAACCACTTCAATGAACGTACAAATGAGGTCACACCTGTTATTCCCTTTAAATAGAGGCTAATTATCTTACGAGTTAAATGCCACAGGAAACAAAAGAGAGAAATTCGAGGTAGAATGGAATGCTCTCTGAAGACTTTAGATCTGACTCTGACATTAAAGTGAGCCATTTCCTTTTCCTAAACTGTAAAGTGAGAGCCCCATTTGCTGTAAAATTCAGTGACGCTATGAATTAAAGTGCCAATTATTTGTCTTAGTTCAGCAGAATGTCAGCATAGCCTAGTAGCAGAGGTCAAAGTGCCCCAATGTATTCTAGAAGGAGAAAAGGCCTTGGAGCTGTACTGAGGGGTTTCTATGTGACCTTCATGAGGTCATCACCCCTCTCTGAGCCACAATGTCCTTACCTGTAAAATGGGATCATAACACCCTCATGGCAGGTGGTATGAGGATTAAATGAGATCAGGAATGTACATCTTTTGTGGTTCCTGGCAGTAGGAGGCACTAAAAAAATCATAGTTATTGCTACTGCTTTTATTAGACTCACCAATAAGCACTTACCTAAAGAAACAACAGCAACACTCTCTGGCAAGAAATGTAATCTGTATCGAATCAGTAAATGCACCAATATGATGCAGATAGCTGTAGGAAAAATAAGACATTGTTAAAACAGCACATTTTAAAATGATAAACACCAACTTCAAGGCAATAATTACTTCTGGAGGGCTGCCAGGGAAATGGACAACTGTCAGTGACACTGTAAACTTCAGTGGCATTTGCAATCTCTTATTTCTTTAACTGGAAACTCACAGTGTTATAACTGTAGACTCACAGTGTTTAAAACATTTTCTCTATACTTCTTTACATCTAAGAGCATCAGACATCTAATATTTTTCTAAGCAATTAAAATTATTCAAACTTCCCAGATTCTAAGAAATGGTCTTCAACTTTATTGAAGTAGTCATCAACTGGAAAACTCCAAATAGTGAAGACCAAGTCAATGAAATCAATCACTTTCATGTAACTATAATATGCTGACATGAAGTATTTTACCACCTGGTGATTGGTTCTCTCTTAACACAGAGGAAAGTGAGGGTGTTTTATAAACAGAACAAAGTAAATGCTTTGGTTTGGTGATAAGATCGTCAGAAACCTAAAGATGGGGTACTTGCTCTCCAGCTGGGTACTGGGGCTCCCACTGGTTGAGGGCTCCCCATTTGCCAGGCACTGTTCTGACCCCCAACACCCCTCTTAACTATTATTACCATTCTCTCCTTTGATTCTAGATGAGAAAACTGGGGCTCAGAGGTCACTTCACTGGGAGGTGCTGCAGGGTGGAGCCAGATTCCAAACTTGTGCCCTTAACCTCGGGCACCCCCCCACCCCCCCTCTCCTGGGTGCCTTCATGCCTCAGTCACGAAAATACAAATGATGCCTGACTTTCCTCACAGAGGTGTTGTCATAAAAGAAAAGAATATAAAACTATTTAAAAGGAGTAAGTATTTCTGGATTTCCCCCTCCCCCCCACCACTAAAGTATACTTTTACATAAATAATTCCTAAATGTAATTTCATGGTCCAAGTGTTAATGTGCATGTCTCTTTTTGTTAGGCATCTAGGTGGTATACTACCTCCTCAATCGAAATATCATCTTAATAATACTAAAAATAATTTATTATTTTTTTTTTGTAAAAAGGAGTCTTTAAACAATCTGCATGGCTGTTAACTGGCCACCCTCAGAGCCACATTGACAGATTAGATATCTTTAGTTCCACCAAAAAGCACCAGGTGGTCAGAGAAAGGAAATAGTTATAAATATACAAATTTTGTCCTTTCATTCTGTGCTCTAAACCAGCGGTCGCCAACTGGTGGTCTGAAAGGTTGGCAACCACTGCTCTACACTATCAATCTGTGGTGTTATTATAAATATTTAACCTATTTAGAAAAATCCTACATTAAATACTAAGAGCAAGAAAAAAGTTCCAGTGCATAATCATAACATGTGACCAAAGCATGCCTATTGTCTAAAAAGACAGGCGTGTGAGCACATAAGTAGATAGATAATAAATTAGGGAGCTAAATCAGTTTCTGATCCTTTTTTGCACCAAGCTGGATGAAAAAATTAATTTAAAACATGTATTCTCCTAAATCAAACCATCTGCATCTTTCAGAACAAAGATGGAAACTATTAACAGAAAGGGCTAAATATAGGGCTCAAGGAAGGTCATCAGCCATTAAAGAGAATGAGGTCTGAAAAAACAACCCACAGGATGGGAGAAAATATTTATAAATCAGATATCTGATAAGGGTCTAGTATCCAGAATATATAAAGAGCTCTTACAACAAAATGAAAACAACACAATTTAAAAATGAACAAAGGACCCGAATAGACATTTCTCCCAAGATATATGAACGACCAATAAACACATGAAAAGATGCTTAACATCATTAGTCATTAGCAAAATGCGAATCAAAGCCACAGTGAGATACTTCACACCCACTCAGATGGCTATAATTAAAAACACAAACAAACTGGAAAATAACAAGTGTTATTTAGGATGTAAGGAAAATGGAACCCTTGGGTCTGGCTAGTAGGAATGTAAAACAGTGCAGCCAGCTAGCCTCTGTGGAAAAGTCTGGCAGTTCCTGAGAAAGTTACATAGAGAATAACCATTTAACCTAGCAATTCCACTCCTAAGTATATATCCAAGAGAAACAAAAACTTATGTCCATACAAAAACGTGTACACAAATGTTCATAGCAGAACTATTTAAAACAATCAACAGGAGGAAACAACACAAATGCCCATCAACTGAGGAATGGATAAACATAATGTGGTATATCCTCACAATGGACTACTACTCAGCCATACAAAGGAATACAATTCTAACACTTGCTATAACATGGGTGGACCTTGAAGACATGACGCTAAATGAAAGAAGACAAACATAAAAGATCATATATTATATGATTCTATTTGTATAAAATATTTTGAGTATGCAAATTCTTAGAGACTGAAAGCAGAATTTTATGTTTACCAGAGACTGGGGAGAGGGGTAAATGGGAAGTGAATGCTTTTAATGGGTATCGGGTTTCCTTTTGGGATGATAAAAAAGAACCAAATGGTGGTAATGTAGTAAATGCCACTGAATTGTACATTTTAAAGTGGTAAATTTTATGTTATGTTTATTTTTAGCACATATATATCCTCTAAAAGGAAAAAAGAGGATGAGGTATATAAAAAACACTAACTTGGAAAGACCTCCAAGACATTCTGTGAGATGAAAAAGCAAGCTATAGGACCCCATTTATATTAAAATAAACAAACTCCAAGCTATATGTGCCTGTATGTGAATAAGTGCTTATGAATGTAGAAAAGTATATACACAATACAAGTACATGTTTCCAAATTCACTTGGGGGGCTAAAAAAGCAAAAAGGGACAAAAACTTCTATGTGGCATGGAGAGTATGCATACCACAAGTTAAAATGCTTCCAACTTTTCATGCTTGAAGCAGTAATTATGTAAGCTATATTAAAACACAGACGTGCCAATTTTAATAACGCTAATAAACTTAATGGCTCATAAAATGGATGTGTCAAATGATGCTAATTGCTAACTCTAGTGCAAATCAAGAACAGTGACTCACCATTGTTTCTGCAGAGTCAAAGTTCAGCAAGGGTTAAGTATATATATAAGTCAACTGATTCCAAGCTTCTAAAAGTCGAAGAGTTTTGGCATCCCTTCTCAACAAAGAGGAAAACAATGTAATCCTTTCCCACCCTTTTGGGACACAAATGTTATAATTTCATTTGAATGACTAACATAGTAAACAAAGTGGCAAATGTGTTCCAGATTAGTAGTTCCTGAAGAATGAACTATGGACTGATGATTTCCCTCAACTCACCAGAGTTCATGTAGTGAGTTAGCAAGTTACCTATTAACAGTATTTTTTTTTGTACTTGATCAGACATATCTAATCAGGAATATACAATAATTATGTTATCTTGATAATATACAAGAGCAGAGGAAAAATGTCTTCAAAATTACTTTAAAAAGCATTCCTTTCTGCTAAAGAAATGTTGACCTGCACATAAAAAGTGGAGAATCCAACTCATAAATTGCCAAGAATCTGATTAGGTGAAAATGGAACCTGCGTGACATTAGTGGGACTCTAGAGTCCAGGTTTATGAACTGTTTGAAGAGAAGACAATCCAAGATAAATATACAGCACTTTAAATACAGTTCAGTCCTTTCTGGCCCCAAACATGCATTAACACTGGGCGGAATTTTGCGTGGATGAAAAAGCACATTAAAAAACCTGTTTTGTAGTCTTTGGCACAAAATAATCTTAAATGCTACACATCCTAAAAATTACTTTGAAAATCTTACTTATGCTTTTCACCCTCCTGTGAAAAAAGTGATTACAAAATGAAAGCTTTTTTCCCCCCAAGCAATCCTTTTATATTCTCAAGCTGACAACAATGTAAGTAGATTAATAATACTTCAGGATTTAAAGAACTAAAGATTTCTTGATCAAGAGAAGAACTGCCATTCTTCTTTGTATTCAGCTACTATATTAAAAGGAAAAGAAAACAAGAGTCCTTGATTGTTGAAGTAATCCCCTAGAAACAGAATTTAATTACATTTACAGGGTAAAAAATTACCTAGGATAGTAAATCTATATGAGACATTGTACACTTGAGCATTGTTGGTGGGAATGTAAAATGGTGCAGCCTCTGTGGAAAAGTTTGGCAGTTCCTGAGAAAGTTACACAGAGTAACCATTCACCCAGCAATTCCACTCCTAGGTTTATACTGTTTATCCAAGAGAAAGAAAAATATATGTACACAAAAATGTGTACACAGCCCTAGCCGGTTTGGTTCAGTGGATACAGCATCAGCCTGTGGACTGAAGGGTCCCGGGTTTGATTTCGGTCAAGGGCACATGTCCAGGTTGCAGGTTCGATCCCCAGTAGGGGGTGTGTAGGAGGCAGCCAATCAATGAGTCTCTCTCATCATTGATGTTTCTCTTTCTCTTTCCCCTTCCCTTCCTCTCTGACGTCAATAAAAATATATTTAACAAAACAAAACAAAAAAACACATGTACACAAATGTTCATAGCAGAACTATTTACAACAGTCAACAGGTGGAAACAACACAAATGCCCATCAACTGATGAATGGGTAAACGTAATGTGATGTCCTTACAATGAAATATTATTCAGCCATACAAAGGAATACAATTCTAACACAAGCTACAACTTGGGTGAACCTTGAAGATATGACACTAAATGAAAGAAGCCAGATATAATAGTTCTTTCTGTGTTTTGTTTTGTTTTGAATTAATGAGAGACAAGGATGAGCCCTAGGACTTTAAATAAAATTACTGTATTATTGCACCAAAAGGCTGATGGTTCAATTCTTGTTTCTCTATCAATGCTTCTCTCTCTCTCCCTCTCTCTTTAAAATCAATAAAACATACACACACACACACACACATACACACACACACATATATTTCCTATATAATAAAAACCTAATATGTAAATCGACTGAATGGTGGAACTACCGGTGGAACGACCAGTCGCTATGATGTGCACCCAGGGGGCAGATACTCAATGCAGGAGCTGCTCCCAGCCAACAGGCCCCAGGCCAATCAAGGCGTGTGCCAGCGGGCCCTCTCCCCCGAAGTCCCCCCCCCCCATTACCCTGCAGAGGGAGGCAGCCAGCGAGCAGGCGGCACCAGGCTGGCCAAGGCGGGTGCCAGCAGGGCCCCCTGATCTCCCCGCCGGTTGCCCCACAGATCGGCCCTGATCACCAGCTAGGCCTAGGGACCCTACCCATGCATGAATTTTGTACACCAGGCCTCTAGTGTATATATATAATTTTAAATCCCTCACCTGAGGATATTTTTTTCCATTGCTTTTCAGAGAGAGTAGCAGGGAGGGATGGAGGAAGGTGGTGGGGGAGAGGGAAAGAGAGAAACTAATGTGAGAGAGATGCACTGACTGGTTGCCTTCCATATGCGCCTCGACTGGGGAGAGGAGCAAACCTGCAACTGAGGTACATGCCCTTGCCTGGGAATCAAACTCGAGACCCTCCTGTGGGCAGCTGACATTCTAACCACTGAGAACACTGGCCAGGGCAATAGAAACATATTTTTTTAAAAAAACAGACTGAAGAGTCCTTGATTGTTCAATTCCAGTCAAGAGCACATACCTTGGTTGTAGGCTCGATCCCCGGCCCCACAGAGGCAGCCAATTGATGTCTCTCTCTCACATCGATGTTTCTATCTCTCCCCCTCCCTTCCATTCTCTCTAAAAAAATCAGTGGAAAAAATATCCTCGGGTGAGAATTAACAACAAGAAAAAATTACTGTATTATTAAAATTGACTTTAAAAGTCTGACTAAAGTATGAAAGAAGTGATACTTTCCCTCAAAAAACACTTAATGGACAGCAGAGAAATACTCTGTACCTTTAAATCCAGTTGCACCTTTCACTTTTCTAAAAAGATCTAATTGGAAATATGACTAACTATCATTAAAGAAGAGTGGAAAATGTAAACATGCCAGCTTCACTTTTCAAATGAGAGTTTGGACTTGGGTCAAGTTCTAAGCTATTTCTTCTGTAGTCAGCTAATCCAAAGTGGTTGTGCAGTTTCAACTGGATATTTTTATGTTTGTCTAACACAGTTGTCTATTCTCTATAGTCTGGAAGGCACTGAAGTTAATGCCTTTTATCTAAACTTCTTGAATGATGTCTTGTAATCTGGCTATTAGTCTCTAGTTCCCAGATCTTAGGTGTGTCAATTGCTTAACCTCTCTGGGCCTAAATTTCCTCACCCGTTAAAGGAGGAGGTTGAACAAAATGAGATTTTAAGTTTGACACAGTGACTCTGTTGAAAGAAAAATATTACACAAGTAAATAACAGCACAGGTGTTATACAGATATGGCGAAAGTCATGACCATGGTTAATGAAATGACAGAGATTAAGGATAACAGTGTGCTAGGACAAGGGCACCTGATCTTTTCCTCAGCAGCAAAACCTTTACATAAAATTTTACACAGAAGCTTAATAGAGATGAGACAAAATGCTGCTCTGGTCAAAGTCAGATGCCCTTCCATTTGACTACCTCTACTTCCTGCTACCATACACACACAGACTTTCATGAGCAGAGTTTGAAATCCACTCAACTAGACGTTCAAGGTTGTTCCTAGGTCAAAAATCTTTAATTCTCTCTTCCAAAGGACGTCTAAGGTATTTCAAAAAGGGCTCTTCAGAATTGTTAAGCTCTAAGTTTTTATGAAGAAAAAGAAGTACCCTGCTATAATGTTATGCACTATCATAGTCCCTCAGTCTGAAGTGAAATCCAAATGGAGGATTTGGTTTAAAGGGGGTTAACCACACAACACGCACACACACGCAAGATGGTAGATGATGGTGACTGCATTCACCTAGGACAAGGAGGGTGAAGAAGATAGTCATGCCACTGGACTGTTCCTCCTGCTGAGCCTGCTCCCCTGTCTGCACAGGGAGGATGGGCTTGGCAGGGGTCGGGAGCACCAGTTTTGTAGTGACAACCAGGCTGGTGTGGAGGGTGACATTGAAACCTTCGTGAGTTGTGTTGGGGAACCTGTTGAAGGACACAAAAAGCAGAATTAGGTCAAGGAAAAAGGGCTCCAAAGTATCCACACACAAAGCCAGAGAAAACTTGGCACAGAGGAGTCTTAAGTCTTGCAACCAACAGGCAGGCCTTAAGAGAGAAACTGATTACAAAATTTCCTGCCTGCCGCCACAGGATGGTAGCAGTGCCCTCGGGTGCTTCTGAACGCAGCTATTTAGAGGACAGGAACAAGGGGCGTTCGGGGCCTGCGTAGAAACCACATGCCACCTGCTCTTTGGCCATAACGGGGGATGTAATCAGAGGCAAACTGGAATCTCATCATTTCCAAGGTCCAACATCATTTACTTGGCGCCTTTATTTCTCGTTTACATTCTTCTCCCTGGATTATATCCACAAGTTGAAGAAGCCACCTGAATTTGCGCAATTGGTGATCTGGTTGGAATGCCCTACCCTACTTTATAAGATCCTTCTCAGATTTCAAAAGGCTCAGTGTAACCTCCTCTGTAACACCCCGTTCCACACCACTACTTATGTTCCCACAGCTCTCTCCGCACGTGTTGGGATTGTACACTAGTGCACTATGGATACAACAGTCATTGTGATTGTGATTATAACAGCTAATGTGTATTGAGGCTTGCTTCATTCCAGGGGCTAGGTAACCTACAACCTCTCGTTTAATAGGCATAACGTGTCTGAGGTGGATACTCTTACTTTCCCTTTTATACCCCCGAACAACAGAGAGTCGGAGAGGCTGCCTAATTTGGCCAATGCCTCAGTTAGTCAGTGGCAGAACTGAGCTTTGAGGCCAAACATGAAGTCACTGGTCCATGCCACCTCTTTCGCTTTGTGCTGCTGAGGCACAGTTTAGTCTCTGGGACAGAGCAGATGCTTTAACAAATAAGGCGACTAAATGAAATGACCATCAGCCAAGAGACAGATCGGGAAAGTTGACGGGTGAGGGAGCCAAATTTCAAATCCATGGGGTTCCCTGTGAATTTTTACATACGCATTCCACACACAGAGATAGGGCATCCACAACATGCAATACACTGTGCCCAGCAGGCATGGAGATGGGCTGAGTGGTCCCTGCCCAGAGGACAGGAACCCCAGCTGCCCCCATTTCATCTTGCATGGCCAGCCCCCTTGCTCTCTGCACCCCAGGCACCCTGCCTGCCTTTCTGTCCCTCAAAGGCACTGCAACCTGTCTTGCACTCGCTGTACCCTCTCCCATCCCTCCTCCTGGCACGGGCACGGGCACTCCTTCCTGAGTAGACGCCCCCACCCTAACACTATTCCACTCCCTTCAGAGCACTAAAATCGTCTTGTCTGTTTATGGTCTTTTGCTACAAGGAAGTTCCCAGAGGGAGGCTCCTGGCTTGCCTCCTTCACTACTATGTGCCCAGGGCCTGGAATATATAGATGGCCGGCAGTTAATGAATGAATGAAACTCAATGGAGACAGATACAGAAAAAGATCTCTACGGTGGAGGAGGCGCCTGGCTAACTGGGGGGTGGGGGTGGGGGACTTCCTGGAGGAGGCGGAGCGCTCCGTAATCATCACAAGACCGGGAAGCTGGGAAAGGGACGTTTGGGTGGCTGGTGCCGCTAGACGGCTTTCCAGGCCTGCACTGGGCGGCCGATCCCCAGCCTGAGGTTCCGACCTTCAGGAGGCCGTGTTGGGCCCAGGCCCGTCCCTCCCGCCCTCCTCGCAGGGGCCGGCAAGATCGGTCCTGGCCAACCAGCACAAGGAGCTCCTCCTCCTGGGGACGGGGGGCGGCCTGAGGCGCTAGCTGTCACCCGCCGGGGCCCAGCCCTGTCGCCTCCGCCGCCCCGGAAAAGCCCACTCACTCCTCTTCCGCCATCTTCTGCCCCATCCTGCGGAGCCTCCAAGACCACCGAGTTCGGAGCCGCGGGGCTAGCAGGGCCCGCCTTCGCTTCCGGCTTCCGCTGAAGGCGCGGGCGGGCGAAGGGCCGGGGGCGGGGCTTCGGCAGCGCGAGGGCGGCCCTTCTGTCCCTCTGTCTCTATAGCCCGGGGGTGGGAGGTGGCCTATGGGAGGACTGTCCCCGGGGCTTCCAGGACTTCGTGACCTTCTGGCCCCACGTGGTTTCGGCTGTTCCCCACCGCGGGGCGGGGCGTTTTGAGGGAAGCTCCTGTGAGGTCCAAGTGAGTTCCCCGGGCCTCGCTGAAGGTTGGGAAGGAGGGACCCCAGGGGCACACTCCCCCAGTCTGAGCCTCCGTTTTCCTCAGCTGCCAAGAGGACTCGCCACCTGGGCTTGGCGGAACGGTGCTGCATTCTATCTGTAAACATTTGAGTTCTGACTATATGCCTATCATTAAAAATAGATGATGATGATCGAGGGATGAATCATTGGTTAATTTGATCATTGACGCCTATATGTGCCTAGCAGTGGTCTGTGGGGTTGGGGATATAGGAAGGAACAAGGTGAGCTTGGAGGAATAAGAGGGACCCCATCAGGAGGGCTGGACTATATTGTAAGGCTTTTTTTTTTTTTTTTTAAGTATATGTTTATTGATTTCAGAGAGGAAGGGAGAGAGAAAAACGATGATGAGAGAGAATCATCGACTGGCTTCCTCCTACACGCCCCAGGGGATCGAGCCTGCAACCCAGCCATGTGCCCTTGACTGGAATCAAACCCGGGACCCTTCAGTCCACAGACTGACGCCCTATCCACAGAGACAAGCCAGCTAGGGCTTGTAAGGCTTTTGGATTTGACACCACCTGTGCTGCTACCTCCTTCCCGGTCCAAGGTATCTTATCGCAACATCTGCAAAGCTGCCTAAACCTTCTCTCTGACCCTGCCCTTGTTCCCAGGGTCTTCCACACAGTGGCTCCAGTGACCTTTTAAAACTCTGGTCGCTCCTCTGCTCAAAACCTCCACTGGCTTCCAATTTTGATCACAGAAAAAAAACTTGGAGTACTTACAGGACTCAACCTTGGCCCCCCTCCCCCCCCAGGTGGATCCCCTCTTCCCCTTATGCACACTTTCCACTATGGTCACAGTGGCTTTCTCAGTGCACCTGAAATATACAGGGAACACTGCCACCTCTGCACTGGCTGATCCTTTGGTCTAGAATGCAATCATGGGCCGTGTTAACGTAAAAACCATTGAAACCTGTAAAGAATTTTTGTGAATTTATTTGAGCCAAACTGTCAACATATGCTGGGAAGTAGAAACTCAACGAATTGAGATCATGCTCCGGAGAATGGCGGGGTTACATTTGTATTTATACATTTGCTTTCAAAGGAGGGATGTAGGTGGGTTACATGAAATTCATTAGTGATAGATTAAGGAGGAGGGATAAAGCAAAGCAGGGGAAACCCCTGGGATTGGATAAAAAGTAAAATGATGGACACATACTTAGGTGGGTGCAGGATCAATTAACATGATAGTGAAGGAATTTGTGGTATCTGTCCTGGCGCCCAGCACATTTGGTTGTGCCCCAGGGGCTCCAGAAAAAAGGAAGTTACAAGTTACCCAGACATTTCAAGGGTATGTAATCATAGATGCAAAAAGACAGATAGGCTCAGTTAAGGTAAAGGTTGACCTTGTCAGTGAAGATACCGGCCTAGGACATAACTGCCCACCATAACTGCTTTTAGTTAAAGTTTAATTCCAGACCATCTTTGTGGTTACTTTAGGTCTCTGAGTTTGCAAGACTGCCATGCAGGCCTCCCCTGAGCTTGTCAGGTCAGCCTGTGGCCCCTTTCGTCCACAGCTGCATAATGACATTTCGGTCAACAACGGACCTCACATATGAGGGTGGTAGGCTAGGTGTACAGTAGGCTATAGGTTTGAGGTTTGAGTGAGTGTACTCTATGATGTTTGTACAATGATGAAATCGCCTAAAGATGCATTTCTTAGAACGATCCCTGTGGCTGGACTCCTTTGCCTCTTGGTTCCCACCTTTTCCACTTTTGGGCTTTTTGTTTAATCTGTACTTTGTCCTCTCTATCTTCCCTGACCATCCTGTTTAAAATCCAAGGCCCCTGCCCTTCCCTGAGTTATTTTTCTCCAGAACACCAAACATTGTTTTATTTGTTTATTGTCCTTCCCCCATGAGCATGTAGGCTTCCAGAATGCAGGTTTCTATCTGTTTTGTTCTCTGCTTTATCTCCAATGCCTAGAACAGTACCTGGCACATAGTAGGTACTCAATAATAAATGATCACTGAATAAATAAAGACATTAGTTAACTCTAGATGTGTTAGGAAACAGAAGGGTTTTGAAAAGAGGGGTGCTACAACCTGACTTTTATTAGGACCCCTTTGACTATAGAGAGGTAGGGCGGGGGTGGGGGGGTGGGCGGCGGAGTAAGGATGGAAGCCCTCAGACCTGCTGGGAGGCCTTTGCAATAATCTGGGCAAGAGCTGATCGTAGTTTGGATTGAGGCGATACCATGGAGAGAGTAGGAAAGGTTGGACTCCGGGTGCATACTGAAGGCAAGATTTGCTGATGAACTGTGGCATGTAAAAGAAAGACGTCAAGGATGACAAAGTTTTTGGCCCTGGGCAGAGGGCCAACCCCACAGCCTGCTGCCACTCCAAGACCTTTTAGGACTGTTGTCAAAGCTAACAGAGAATGTGCTTAGGATCAGCCAAGGTTTATTGAGTCCTTCCTGTGGGTGTGGTGCCGAGCTATTGTTTCCTTAATTCCTTTTACTTCTTTGAGGCAGATACTATCATAATCCGCAGACTGAAGAAGTCAACCATTTGCCTGAAGTCACGCAGCTAGCTGGCGAATGCTGAGGCTGTGATTCCGGTAAAGCCTGTGCTTATAACTGGTACTCCTTGTTGCTCTCACTACCTTAATTTCTCTGGTTCTAAAATGGGGCTCCTCTCCTCCCTTATCACAGACAGAGCTGGCGAAAATGAACTGGCCCTTAGGGATTGAGAGCTAGGTTCTCTCTGAGCCACACTTATTGACTGAGAGCTTGGGGTTGTCACTTTCCTTCCAGCCCCAGAAAAACCCAGCTGAAGTTGAGCTCCCCATGGGTGGGGGTAGGCCCCTTGTATCAGACTGAAGGCTGTGGGTCAGTCAGGATGAAAGCAGGGCCCTGGATTCATTGATGGATGCCCCGTTTTATCTGCTATGCTACCCACTGCCCTTGCCACAGATCCTGTTATTAGGTCCAGTTCCGGGCTTTGTGACAATCATGGACCTGCTGCCAACCAGGAGGCGGAAGAACACCTGCTCTCAGGCCTATGGGCAAATCCCAGACTCTTGTCACCTACTCCAGGAAAGGAATCTAAAATCCCCAGGAAGGCAAATAAAGCCATTTGACATGCAGTTCCTGTGCTCCTGTGCCCTGCCAGGCTGAAAAGGGGGTGGCACAGGACATGGCAGGCTTTGGCGCCAGGCAGTTCTGCCTCTCTACCCCAACTCAGTACCTGTGGGCTCTGTGACCCTGGGGCCCCCTCAGCACCTGCAGAACCTCAAGGCCCCATTATTGTGACAGAAGCCTTTAGAAGGCTGTTACAGGATCAGAGAGGAAGCTCTACCTTTGTTCTCCGTTCTCTCTGCCCTCTACCTCCAATCTTGTCATTCAGGTCTCAGCTTAAATGTCACCTCCTTAGGAGGCCCTCCCTGACCACTCAGTCTAAAGCAGGGATTGGCAGACTTGTTCTACAAAAAGCCAGACAGTAAATATTTTAGTGTGATCTCCATTATAACAAATCCACTCTGCTGTTACAGTGGGAATGACATCATAGATGATTTAAATAGGCATGACTGTGTTCCAATAAAACTTTATGGGTATTAAAATTTGAATTTCTTATCATTATGACATGCTATGAAATGTTCTTTTTTAAAATATATTTTTATTGCCCTGACCCATTTGGCTCAGTGGTTAGAGCGTCGGCCTGCGGACTGAAGGGTCCCAGGTTCGATTCCAGTCAAGGGCATGTACCGTGGTTGCCAGCACATCCCCAGTGGGGGGTGTGTAGGAGGCAGCTGATCGATGTTCCTCTCTCATCGATATTTCTAACTCTCTATCCCTCTCCCTTCCTCTCTGTAAAATATCAATAAAATATATTTTAAAAAAATATATATATATTTTTATTTATTTCAGAGAGGAAGGGAGAGGGAGAGAGAGATAGAAACATCAATGATGAGAGAGAATCATTGATCAGCTGCCTCCTGCATGACCCCCACTGAGGATCAAGCCCGTAACTTGGGCATGTGCCCAGACCGGGAATCAACCGTGACCTCCTGGTTCATAGGTTGACACTCAACCACAAAGCCACACCAGCGAGGCATGAAATACTCTTTTGATTTTTTCCCAACTATTTAAAAATATGGAAACCATTCTTAGCTAGGGGCCATATGAAAGCAGGTGGCAGGCTGGATTGGCCCACCATGGGCAGCTGACCCTTAGTCTAGTCTTAAAATAAGTGTTTCTGCCTGGTCAATGTGGTTCAGTGGTTGAGCACTGAACCAAGAGCTCGCTGGTTCGATTCCTGTTCAGGGCCCATGGCCAGGTTTCAGGCCTGATCCCCAGGAAGGGCATGCAGAGGCAGCTGATCAATGATGCTGTTTCTCATTGATGTTTCTATCTCTCTATCCCTCTCCCTAAAAATTAGTAAAAACATATTAAAATAAGTGTTTCTGAGGTACTTATCATTATCACCCCACCCCCTTGTTCTCTCCTTTCCTTATTCCCTAAGTTTATCATCCATTTTCCCCTCTAGGATGTAAGTTCCTGAAAGCAGAGAGCTTATCACACTCCTGTCTTTATTCTGTTCTTTTTTTTTTTTTTAACATTTCTTGAACACTTACTCTGCACCAGACATTACTCCAAGCACGTGATGCTCAGTAATTTATTTAATTTTTATAAAAGAAAATGCTGAAGCTGTCAGCAAAATAGGGGCACCAATAAAAACTTCTTAATGAATTTGATATTTCAAATATGTTTTTAAAGGGAATCGGAGTAGTTATCATGTGTACCAGTCAGGGTTCAATCAGAGAAGCAGAGCCAGTAGGAGAAATACATTAAGAGCTTTATTTGCAAGGAACTGGCCTAAAACAGTGCAAATTATTCCCTTACAGTTTTAGAGGTTAGAAGTGTCATGGAGTTAAAGTCAAGGTGTCAGTAGGGCTGCATGTGCTTATCCTGGAAGCTCAAGGGAAGAATCTGTTTTCTTGCCTTTTCCAACTTCTAGAGGCGCCCACATTTCATGGCTTGTTGGCCCTGTCTCCTCTCTTCAAAGCCAAAATGGCATTACTTCAACCTCTGCTTTGGTCATCACATCTTCGCTGACTCTGACTTTCCTGTCTTCTTTTTTCCTTTGTAAGGAGCCTTGTGATTACACTGAGCCCATTTCATGTTTTAGAATGATCTCCCCATCTCAAGGTCAACTGATTAGCAACCTTAATTTCCCCTTGTCATGTACCAGTAAAATGACATATTCACAAGGTTTAGGGATTAGCATGTGATCACTTTATTTTTAATAATCCTCACCAGAGTATATTTTCTCTATTGCTCTTCAGAGAGAGTGGAAGGGAGGGAGTGATGGGGGGAAGTTAGGGGGAGAAAGAGAGAGAAACATTGATGTGAGACACATCAACTGGTTGCCTCCAGCTTGAGTCCTGACCAGGGACGGGGAGCGAACCTGCAACCTAAGTACATGCCCTTGACTGGGAATCAGGAATCGAACCTGAGACCTTTTGGTGCATGGGCCGGTGCTCTAACTATTTAGCAACACTGGCCAGGGCCATGTGGACATCTTTGAGGAGCCATTTCTCTGCCTACCATACCATGGGAAAAATAAGTTCTGTGTTGGCCTTCCCTTCATTTATTTTTACCATTTAGTACTATTTCATATGGATTTACATATTGGGGAGAGTTTGGCATAATTTTTTAAATGCCTGTGGGCTTTAATGTTTTAAGATGGTACTGGCCATTTGGCAGGTAACAGGCATTAAAATTACTGGGCAGAAATGAAAAAACCTGGAATTGTAAAATTCAGTGGAGACAGGTGCAAAGATACATCTGAGAGTTTGTGAAAAAATACAGACTCCAGTTCTATTATTGTAGGCGGCTGGAATGGTACCAGGTGTCTGACCGGTGGGGTCTTTACAAACCTGGGTCCAGCAACCTCGGTACTTGGGTTCTGGCTAGGAAAGAATTCAGAGCCAAGACGCAAACTGAACAAGAACATTTATTTGGTAAATCACAGAGGTAGAAGGTAGAAGAAGTAATTCCTAGAAGAAATGGGTTTAGGAAACAAGTTACAGTGGGGCCTTGACTTACGAGTGTCCCGACTAACGAGTTTTTTGAGATACCAGCTGTCTCTCGGCAGATTTTTTGCGTTGAGTTGATAGAGTAATTTGAGTTAACGAGCTCCTTAACGAGCTCCTTAACGAGCTCGGTCTTGAACGAATTAAACTCGTAAGTCAAGGCCCCACTGTATAAGGTAAAGGAAGGGCCCTTGGAGCTTGGGAGGAGGAAGTTAATGGTAAAGTGTCTGGGGCAGGGACGGGGAGTTGGAAGGAAAAGGGGAAGGCCAGGGGGGACTCCAGGAACGGAGAGCCACTGGGTCTTCCATCCTAAGGGTTTTATGGGTGGAGATTTTAGGGGAGGTCCCAGGGGAAAATCTCAGTAGAATATTCAGCAGTTCTCCAGGTGTGTCCTTTCAGGATTGTAATCTCCCCTGAATGATTGGCCGGCACCAGGGCAGGGGGTCATTATTCAATGCAGCCGTGGGGTCGCTCCTCTGGTTTTGCTGTTTTTCTGGGCCTGGAGCTGAAATACAACAGGCTTAGAAGTTATCTCTAGGGAGGAAAGGTCTGGGGGTCCAAACCCCATGACCAGCCAATATACTAGGGGAGGAAAGATCACCCTGGGGGCGAGGTCCCACCCTACATTTGATTGTCCATTGTTAGACACCTGGGGTTTTTGGCCCTGGTGACCTTCTGTACCTGGCCCATCCTCCTTGCTCTGCTCATGTCTGTCTAACTGCCTCCCACACTATCACAGATCTAATGGATCTCCAGCATGGGGCCTGGGAATCTGAATTTCTTTTGGACTCTCCACTCCCATAGCAAACTCTGTTGGTGACTGCTCATAACCCCTTGGAGGGTCCTACTGCGGCCTCAGTGCTTCCTCTCAGCACAGGACATGCCAGCTGTGCCAGGGAGTTGATGATTCCAGAACAGCCCTCAACCAACGACTGACAGGAGTTGAAGGATAAGTACCTCCACTTGGGTGGGACAACTCTGAGGTGCATGTTCCAAACAGTTTCCCAGAGTTCCAGTGGTGACCCACTTGACAGCACATATAGGAAACAGAAACCCAGCACAAGATAGAAGCAAATGGAGTTCCCAGATGATGGTGAAGGAAGGTCCCCGGGGGATCTTTGACAGCTGTGGACCAGAGCGGGTAACCAGTCAAGATTCTAGCAGGTCTGAAGGCTCCAGGGAGATCCCTTCAAAAAGGTGAATGAATACCATTTCTGAAGGCTCCAGGGAGATCCCTTAAAAAAGGTGAATGAATACCATTTCTGACGCATTGGAAGATGTTGAGAGGTCACTTAGACCACTGGCAAAAGTTTGAAGTTGAACTGAAAACATGTACTGAGAAAATTAGGTCTCCTTGGGGTGGGGGAAGGGAGCAAAACAATTATTAACTTAAGGAAAACTATAAAGCTGTACAGGAAAGCAAAGGACACCATAGTTTACCATGGAGCTTAGCTGTGAATGGCATTTACATAGTCACAATTATGTAAATATTAAATATTGATTCACTAAAATTATAACTATCTTGAGAAGAATGGGGGGGAGGGTGTGTATATGTGCTGGGGTCAAATATAGGGAAGGAAAGAGAGCAGAACCCTCATATCCTATAGTGGGAAAGAAGATTATACTGAAAACTGAAAAATTTAGCGGCAGAAATAGAAGCATGTTATTTAGCGACATGGAGTTAAATAACAAAAATCAGTTAAAAGAGGGCAAAAGTGGTTTCCTTTGGGAAGGAGGAATGGGAGGAGGGAGTAAAGTAGAGATTTCTGTTTTAGAAAATTGGACTCTTGAATTTATGTGTATGAATAACAAAATATAAAATTAAAATTAAAAAAAGGACATGGATAACATATATGAAAATGTTGTTTTGATAATGGTTGTCTCGGAATTGTGGGTCATGGGTATTCTTTTTCTTTTTAGTGTTATTTAAATTTTTCCCCTGTAAATAATATACAGCAAGAAATGAGAACAAATATGATATTTTTAAGGGGAGAAAGGAAAGAGATAAGTCTAGGGGCAGCCTGGAAACTAGTGTTTCTGTCTGTCAACAGGCCTCAAGATGGAGACAGTGGGAATGATACAAAGGTGAAGGGGTGTGGGTCGGGGGAGGAAGGATTGACAGAGCTTGGTGACTCATGGAATAGGAAGGTGAGGCCGTGTCAAAGATGAAAGTAACAAATAGCCATGGCCTTGACGCCCTGTATGATAAGCTGGCATATTTCTAGTTTATGACAGATGACTGGCAATTAGGACTGTTCCTCATGACAGGCAGAGTATCAAAGGGCTTTATTTACATTGTCTGCTTCTTCTATCCTTCCTTGCTTTCTTTTTTTTCCATTGCAAATTGTTTTCCCTGTGGTCTTTTATTTTTTTTTAACTTTGTTTTATTGCTTAAAGTATTACAAAGAGCAGTACATTTGTCTCCTTTTTTCCCCCCTTGACCTTCCCCCGGCCTCCCCTACCCCCCAGTGTCTTGTGTCCATTGGTTATGCTTATATGCATGCATACAAATCCTTCGGTTGATCTCTTATCCCCAACCCTCCCGGCTTTTCCGCTGTAGTTTGAGCAGCATCGAACAGACTGTCAAACTTCCTTGCTTTTTAAGCATTCATCACGTTATTCTCTTGCTCAGAAGCATCCCATGGCTCCTCATCTTTTTTAAAAATATATATATATTTTTATTTATTTCAGAGAGGAAGGGAGAGGGAGAGAGAGACAGAAACATCAATGATGACAGAGAATCATTGATCGGCTGCCTCCTGCATGCCCCCTACTGGGTATCGAGCCTGAAATCCAGGCATGTGCCCTTGGCTGGAATCGAACCTGCGACCGTTCAGTCCGCAGGTTGACGCTCTATCCACTGAGCGAAGCCGGCTAGGGCACCCCCTTCTTATTGGGAACAAACCCAAACTCCTCTGAGTACCCTGAAGGCCCTCTTTGGTCTGCTTTCTGCCCTGCAGGGGTCTCTGACCTTCTCATGCACCTTTTTCACTGCACCCCAACTCCCTGGGCTCCAGGCTCTGCTCCCTTATCTGCTCCTCGAACATGCCAAGCTTGTCTTCACCTCAGGACCTTTGTGTTCTTGTTGTTGTTTTCACATTTTAGTCAATAATTTCACTGAACAGATCCTTACCCGGACCTGTGGATGCTGAAAAGTCATCGGTATGTAGGTGCTTTGCGCCCTTGACCTTCCAGCACTGTCCCTTGGACAGTAAATAGACATCACATCGCATGTCAGTGTCCAGGAAAGCACCATGCACCAGGCTGCACGAGGAACCGGCTAAAGCACACTGACATCGGTATTTGGGCGTGTCTTTTGTTTTCCATAAATAAGTTCTTCCTGGACACAAGCCTGCAGAGGCCCTAGCAGGGCTGTCCTATAAAAATACAAAGTCAGCCACAGCTGTCATTTTAAATGCTCTTTTCATTTGAAGGAAGTACTTTATGGCTTTTCTCTGGTATATCTGAATTACTAGCATTATCACTCTTTCGAATCAACAGCCCAATGAAGAGATACATAAGGGCGAGGTCCCAAACAAAGGAGCTCTGTCCACATGGAGCTTGGGGTGCAGCATGGAGGGCACATAGAAGCATTCTGGTTCCCCATTGTGGAAGCTCTCCAAAAAAGGCCCCACCTCGGGACCTTTGCACATACTGATCTCTCATCTGCCTTCTAGATATTTACATAGCTGCCTCATTACAAAAGTCACTTCCTCAGTGGGGCCTGAAGGAACCACCCGGTTCACTTGCCCCAACAGCTACTACCTCTTCCAACATTTTCCTTTCTTGTCCTCGCTACACATACCATCATGTGAAATTATCCCGTTTCTTTCTCTTTTTAAAATGTTTTAAAAATTATTGTGGAGATGTCATTCAGATAACACAAACTTTACCATTTATTTATTTTTTATTTTTTAAATTCCTTAACATACATTTTATTACTCATGTTGCAGGGAGGGACCGGGTTGGCTCCTCCTGAATAAAAGCACTAAACAATTTTAGACAACAAAGACACATATTTAAACAATAAAGACAGATAACATTCCCCATTAAAAAACTTTGAATCACCATGGCTAGCAATATCAGTTTGTGAGCATATAGGCCTTGTTGACGTCATCTTGGGATAGCTGTCTGCCAATCCAGTGGCTTTTCTTATGTTGTATAACCAAAAGTGTCCAATTCAATGGCTTTTATTATGTTGTATAACCATCACCACTCTCTGAGTTCCAAACATTTTCATCACCCCAACAAGACTCTGTACCTGTTAGCAGTCAGTCAATCTCTCCTCACCCATCTCCCGTCAATCACTAATCTATGTTCTGTCTCTATGGATTTGCCTATCCTGAACATTTCATATAAATGGAATCATGTATGTGGCATTTTGTGTCTGGCTTCTTTTCTGTAGCAGAATATTCTATTTCTTTTTAAAATTTACTTCCTTATTATCTGTCATCCCTTTTATACTCTCAGAGGCTCTCATACCTATAATAGTGTCCACCATACACCATGAAATATGGATTAAGCTCTTATTATGTACTATGTATGCAGTAGCACAAAAACCCTCCCCTCTGCCTCCATTTTCTCCTCAGTGATCTCCAAGGCTCCCCTTGTACACCCCCAAGGTGGTGATGGGCTAAGGGTGAGTGGTCTGGTTGGGGGGGTCTCCCCTCTCCTGGCCCAGCAGACATGATCCAGCTCTTTCTACAAAGGGACACCTCACACCAGCACAGGGGCCCCAAACGAACTGAAACAAAAGACAAGTCCTGATGAGCACCTGTTTCTAAGGGGCTTCCCAGTTCCTTTGGTTCTTATTCAAGACAAATTTGTGATTTGTGGGACAGTTCAAATAATTGCCTTAAATAAAAAGTGGAAGGGGCCCTGGGACAAGGAATACAGGAGGCCTCGAGTGACAGAGAACAGCCTTTACCGCCACCAAGCATGGAGGTTAGGGTCTCAGTTCTACAACTGCAAGGAACTGAATTTTGCCAACAGCCTGAATGAGCCTGGAAGTGGACTCTTCCCACTGCCTCCAGATGAGGACGCAGACAGGCTGCGTCTTTAGCCTGGGAGACCCTGGGCATAGACCACACCAGAGCCTGCATGGACTCAGGACTTATGAACTCTGAGCTGGAAGTAGTTTAAAAGAAGAAGAAGAAAAAAGATATTCAGTTTGCTGCTTTCAGTTCCCAGCTGAAAGCAGGCTTGCTTTGAGGCCTGGAGCGCTGTCTGGCTTAATTGGGCCAAGGGGCAGACGGAATAGGAGTTAAGAAATCAGACACTGCAGCCAAACAGCCAGGGTTTGAATCCCAGCACTGCCACCTACTACCTCTGTCACCTTGAGCAAGTTTTCCTCCCCGTGCCTCCTTCCCCAGTAAGTATGTCAGAATATTATTTTTGTATTGAGTGAACTAATATTCACGAAGTCTTAGAAGCATGACAGGCACATAAATACTTTACGGATGTTTCTCAAATTAAAAGTAATTCCCCCGGACAATGTATGTGTGCATAATGGAGTGACTGGTTCCAAGTGGTGCTGAGCCCCTTTAATGATTCTCCTGGGTTAGAAATACTGGCTGTGGTGGCCTCTAACCAGTTTTCTTACCTCATTTAAAGACCAAAAGGGAAATTCCCTTCTGTTTCCAAATAGGGGAAAATTACAACATTGCGAATTATTCACTAGTAGAATAAACACAGGCACTACAAATGATAACTCTTATCTATGAATATTATCTTAGGAAAGGGCCTATGCTCTGCCTTGGCAATGTGATATGGGTAAGGTCATGGGCTTTGAAGCCAGACTACCTGTGTCTGAATCCCAGCTTAGCTACCTATAGTGGTGTGACCTGGGCTAAATCACTTAACCTCCCTGTGTCTCAGTTTCCCCATCTGCAAAATGGGGTTAATAATATAACTTAGTACACAGAACTATTTTTAGGATAAAATTAATAAATGGAGAGCACCTAGCATATCATTCAAGTACTTAATAAACCTTAGCTATTACTGTTGAATTAAAAAATAGCACAAATATGCTTTACGGTTTAAATATATGTCTATGCAATGAAAAAAAATCTATGCGATAGTTTATAAAATACTCTAAAACTATGACTGCTTTTCACTCTCTTCATGTTTTTCTGTATTGTCTGAAAATTTTTTTATAATAGTAAGCCGATACTACTTTTGTAATTAGAAAA